ACAAGAATATTTCCGTTCGAGCTCAGCTACTATAACTGATTAACGGAGAATTATTTCTCCATAAAGCAACATATTTTGATGCACTTTTATGTTGAACTTTTTTCTTTGTCGACGCTATTTGATCATACGATTAGTTAGCCTTAGAGTTGAACATTTCTAAGCTGAATTAAACCTTTTAAAAACGTATTATCAGTTTTTCAGCAAGTGGAATCGATAAGAGGATTTTCTGTGAGGGTACTCTAAAAGCACCTGTTATCTGCAGTATGGAATTGAAGGCTGTTTAGACAGTATATGTCAAAGGTATCTATGACAACCACAGCTTACCTACGGTAGTATTATCATAAATCATTCTAAGGAATAGGTTCTCCTATCTGTTTGAGGGCGTTCATTGTGGGTAAGGGCTATGAGGATTTTTCAGTTGGAAAAACATTTCACAGGTGGCCCCTAATCGAACCTATATTTTACACTGACCCATCCCCACCTCCAAAAAAAAAAAGACTTTCAGTGGATAGAATCTAGCATCGCCGTCCCCACCCCTCTCTACTCAGAAACCTTCTGCACCAGAAAGTTTTATTCAACTTTCACACGGCACCAAAGTATGGCAAAAAACCTTTCCGATATGTGACGCTCTACTTACTAGATCGGCGTGGCTCAGCTTCGCTCCAGGAAAGAAATCGCGCCACCAAAATCGCTCAACTGTTGATTTCAGAGACGATTTGGTCCAGGGTATCGGTATTACACAAATAATTTTGTCATAATGCTCGCCGGTCCAGTCTACATACAGGCGCTTTTGATCATATTCAGATGTTAATTTACGCCTAATAAGAAATAAATTATTATTATTATTACTATTACATACGTAAGGTTTTAAAATGAGGAAAAGCAGGCTTAATATTGGGTGGTGCATAATTTATTCATTTACGACAAATCTGCTTTTCATTTTTGTACTTTTTTTCTTTTGGTTTCGACTGAGTCTTAAGTTGATAGGTTCTATGGCCGTGTTACTTTCACTATGGTTTTATACCGTCCTATCTGCAACATAGCCGAGAAACCGGAATATATTTTCTTTTCACTAATAGCACTGTGATAACATCTTAACTTGGGAGCACGCTTCATCAAAAATGATAATGGACGAATGTCAAGACACCAATAAAACTGTTGTGACGTTTGCAAAATTAACGAAGGAACCTCTTTTTGCTTTTAGCGCGTAAGGAGAGCGCGATAGCTTAACAAATATTAATATATTGATAAACTTATAAGGAAGATTATTAGTAAAAATACAGAGTTCAGAGAGCTAGAATTAAACTGAAGAGACAATAGCTCAGTAAAGGATGAAATGATATAGTAAACTTCGTTTTCGAGAAATTGAAACCAAATGATTTTGCATATAATTCACCTGTTCATTTTAATTCTCTAAATTTGGGCTAATTTATTGCAAAATAAATGCAAAAAGTTGAACTCTGACAACAAAGCAGTGTATTAAAAGAATAGGGCATGGATATTTAACAATTATTCCTCGAGCCCCAATAGGCTCTGAGTCAATAGCCCATGAGGCCGATTGTTTTAGTAAAATCTAACTAGTTGGTCAAAAATATCGAGAATAAAAAACTTTTAGCTAGTTAAAGCTAGACTTTAATCATTTTTTGCCGCCAAAAAGCCCGCGCTTTTCGCTACTACTGGGCTATAACATATAGCCTAGTAGTAGCTCAACCAATCAGAACGCAGCATTGATAATAGACTACTGGTTAGATTTTACTAAAATCGGTAAGTTTTAAGTGCAAGGTAAAGAAGTTATATCACTACCCTAAGTGCGCTGAATTCTTTACTTGTTTTCTTTTGTTCTACGATATTCAGAGATACATATGATGTGGAGCAAAATTTTTGTGGGATATGATTTTTGGCGCATTTTCAGGATTTTCTTAAGATCCTAGCATGAAGGCGAAAAAAATAAAAATTAAATAAACCTGCGAAATGGATATCTTTAAAACAAGGAACCGGGAATCGGAAAACGAGAATGGGGAACGAGGAACGGGGAATCTTTAAAACGGGGAATCTTTAAAAGCGGGAATCTTCAAAACGGGGAATCTTTAAAAATGGGAATCTTTTAAATCGGATTCCCCGTTTTAAAGATTCTCCATTTTAAAGATTTCCACTTTTAAAGATTCCCCGTTTTAAATATTCCCGCTTTAGAGATTTCCCCATTTTTTAAAGATTCCTCATTTCAAAGATTCCCGCTTTTAAAGATTCCCCGTTTTAAAAATGCCCCGTTCCCCGTTCCCCATTCCCATTCCCTCATTTCCCGCTCCTTGTTTTAAAGACTGAGCTGCTGCGAAATCTCACTCCCTCAACCACCTGACGACCCTGTTTAGGTAATTTTTGCGGTAACTCTGCTATCTTAGAAGCATTATGCCTAGATATTACATAATAAGTTTAAATTTCAGTCTTGCTATATTCCCACAACTAACTCGGTTTCCTGTCGTTGATTAACACAAAAAGCGCAGACGTCAAAAAGAATAGGCGAAATGGTATAGCAGGTGTACTACCTGAAAAGTGATTATCAAAGGCACACGAGCCGCGTGTGAAAAGTCACGCCTGTAATTATAGTATCGTGAGCAAAGTCTTAAAGTTAGAAACGTGCAAGCCTTGAAAAGTTTCTGGCATGAAGTGTTTCAAGCGTAGGTTGAGTTTGATCGTCCGGGTGAACGTAGTCCTGAATAGGACTGTTGTTATTGACAGTGACTGACGTTTCCACAACCTGTGCGGTAGTCATCTTCAGAGTCAAAGTGACTTGTATCACGTCAGTTGATGGTATTATACTCTGGTTATTGACCTGATTGGTCAATTACGTCGCGATGTTATTGGTCGTCTGTCAGTTAAGCCGTGATGTTATTGGCTATGAAGACTCGTAATCAGTAATTGGTGCGTTTCGATCCGTCTATTGTCACAGTTAAACAGTCGTCTATTGTTAGTCTTCAGTCGTTCTCTCGTAGTTAGTTTTGCTTGATCTCGTCAATAAGTCGTTTGTACGGCGCTGGTAATTATTGGCTACGATTCAGTGGCGTTTGTTCTAAGTTAGTAAACCAGCTTTCTAAAGTAAGACGTTGATAGTAGTCAGTAGAATACGTTATACATGTCGCAGAGTCCCAGTCAATTTGATGTTTCGTCTTTAAATGGTGCTCAGCAATGTGATTGTTGACGTCACCATTCTTCGTTGCGCGTTTGTGTTCGGTCAGTCGCGTTCAGGTTTCTGCCGGTTTCACCAATGTAAGAAGCCTGGCAGTCGCAGCATTTGATCTTGTATACTGCTCCCTGTCTGTCCTCCGGTTTGTCTTTGTCCTTGACATTAGTACGCAGTCGCCGTAAAGTGGTTATCGGTTTGTGTGCAACACGTATATTGTAAGGTTGTAATATACGTGCAATAGTTTCAGAGGTGCCTCTGATGTACGGTATAGTCGCTGTCGTAACAGGGCCAGAGTTGGTCTGAGTGTTGGAATCAGTGTTACTGTGAGTGTTCCGTCTAACAAAGTCCGTGTTGTAATTGTTCTTACTAAAAACGTTGTTAAGATAATCAGTCTCGTCTTGTAGGCTGTCAGGTGAGTCGCAAACTAGTTGCGCTCGTCTCGTCAGAGTCCGGATAGTAGTAGCCTTGTGAGAGGTCGGGTTGTACGAAGACTGGTCTAGTAATCGGTCGGTATGTGTCGGTTTTCTGTAAATAGTCGTTTTTAGTTTGTTGTTGTCGCGAGTGACCAAGCAGTCTAGAAAAGGTATCTTACCATTTTCTTCGATCTCCTTGGTGAACTGTATGTCCGCGTTCTGTCTGTTAAGGTGTTTGTGAAAATCGTTGATTCCGTCTTGTGTACGGCGGTGGATGTGTCGTCAACGTAACGTAACCAAACAGGTACAGTTCGCGTGTAGGTAGTTAGGACTTGTTCCTCGATGTTTTGTATGACAATTTCTGCTGCAACAACAGAAACTGGAGAGCCCATAGCTGTACCGTGTAACTGTTTGTAGTGTTCGCCGATGTACTGAAAGTACGTCGAAGTCAAACAGAGATTGAGTAGGTCCATAATGTCGCTTGTAGGTAGTGGTAGTTCAACAGTAGGGTTCTTAATAGCGTTCTCAGTACAGTCTAGAGCCAGTTGAAGTGGAATACTGGTGGACAGCGATTTCACGTCAAAGGACACTAGTTGGGTCGTCCGGTATCTGTATTGTCTTAATGGCGTCAATAAAGTTCTCAGTAGACTGTAGTTTGTGTCTAGATTCAGTCAGCGGTTTCAGTACTTTAGTTAAGTATTTAAACAGTTGGTAGGTTGGGGACACACAGAAAGAAACTGTTTCATTTCGTTTTTGGTTTATAATGGATGAACCAATGGCAAAGGGGATACTAGGGACCTTAAGATACCCTGGACGCGGCCTAGGAGGACGGCAACCGGAAGTAAATTCGCAAGGTCTTGAATTTAATTTGCATAAATGTCACGCCACTCGACGGCCTCCACGTCAGTTGCGGCGGCGACAAAGTTCATTTTGGCGGCCTCTCAGATAGGTGAGTTGGTTTTGCAACTTTTTCCCTTAAAAAAACATGATTTGCACAACATTTGTAAACCTTTATATAACGAAATAGATTCCTAAATTGTTTGGTTCAATTTTGTTTTCATAATTCAGGTCTTAGCGTGTTTATAGAGGGAAAGTTGAGCATCGAGTCTTCAGAAAGGAATCCGAAAAGCAGGTAAATTTCCAAGCACCAGAGTATTGCTTTATTTCTTATTTTCAACTTGATTTTTATCCTGTGAAACTAATCAGCGGCAGGCTAGAACCGCTCTAGAAAATGATTTTGCATTATTTGTAAAAAAAAAAAAAAAAACACACACAGTGTGGATTTTATACTCATCATCTTTTTCAACTCGTGTTTTGAATACCATCTAAAAAATGGCGCCAAAGGCTTGATTGAAATTCTACTTTTTCTTCCTTTAGTGTGGTAATGGAATGGACAAATTAAAAAAAACAACCACGACCTTGCTCTTGCTCGGGAGGTTTTGTTATTGGAACCTTTTCGTCTAAAGGCGAGGACAGTTGAAAGAGGAAAAGTGTGGCAAACAATAGCAGACAACCTGAATTCGCACGCTACATTGAGGTTTCTTGTCACAAAGAAATCGGTGAGGGAGCATCTTAAGCTTTTACTGGACAAGTATCGCGCAAGAATGCAGAAGGAACGGAGAGATAGTTGAGTGGAAGTAGAGCAAACAGAGCTGGACCAAGCCCTCGAGGAGATCAACGAGAAGTGGGAAGCAGCGGATGAACAAGATATATTGTTGCTGAATAACAGGAAAAAGACAGAGGAAGACAGAGCGATGGGATAGGAGGTCTGAAAGAAGGCGTGCGAAAAGCTGGGTGAAACGATGAAACGGAAAGGAGAAGGTGAGGGTTCGTCAGAGCCGAAGAAGAAAAGGTCAAGAAAGGGTGGAAATGACACAATAGAGTTTCTGAGGGAAAAGGCAAACATTGATATGGCAATGAAACAAGAAGAACAGAAAGCGAGAAGGGAGGAGCACGAGCGGCAAACAAGGCTTTATGAGCTAGCACTTGCTAATCAACGACAGCAACAACAACAGCAACAACAACAGAGCAATCAACTCATGAGTCTGATGTTTGGCCTCATGCAAAAAATTGCAGAAAAATAAGACGGTTAATTTTGTTTGCGATGAAAGCATTCACGAAACATACTTTTATTGTTTACTTCAGATTGCTTGTTTCTACAGTTCTACACTTAAATGTATGATCCATGTCATGTCTTGAAGTTACGACAACTTGTTTAAAATTTGAAACGCTTGATAGTATTTTGGGATGGAAATCCCTTTGTGTTCTTTGTCTTTTCCATGCATGGTAACAGCAATAAAAACCATTGATCAGTCCGGAGTATCCCTAAATTTAAGGACAGGGCCAACTGGTCACGCGACACTTTTCAACCAATGAGAAGGCGCGCTTCTGTTTATCAACAAACAAATCAAAACATCGCCCCAGTGATCAAAATTTTTCAAAACAACGGACGGAGTCAGACAGAATTAAAGATGAGCTTACAATACTAGTCTAGGTTTCACATTTAATATTTCAAAGAAAACATTTCATGTAATAGAATAAGAGCATTAGCCATTGCAAGGAATCATTGGGGTGTTCGAATTGAGTCCGGACCGATCGCAGAGGTCGTGGTTTCACTGGCATGGCTTGCAAGATTTTTGATAGAAGCAAACTGGTCCCGTGTAAAAATAGCCTTAAAGAGAGTGTGAAAATTTGTTGAGATCGTACAAAACAGGATTGTACTACCCATTAACTTCTACAGGACAAGAATCAAAGAACCAGTCATCATAACAAGAATGGAAAGTAGTTCAAATTTATGAACTTTTCTTGTTTGTTTTTTTGTGTTGTTTCGCGTTTACTTCACGCATCTGGTGCTCTCTGGTGCTTTCTTTGCTTGCTGTAGTACCTGCAATGTTTTAATTTTATCCCAGATAATCAGTGCATGTTCAATGAGTTGCGAAATACATCATTTATAATTGAGATTTGCATTGTTTCTTTGATTGTTTTTTAGCGGTGGATGAACATTTGGAGAATCCAACAACATTAAATCTTTCCAGATTAGTGAATTTCAGAAACAAAGCGGTTAGTATCTACCTTGCGCTTATGATCTTCAATTTCATCTCCGCAAATTCGGCAAAGTGAGGCGAGATGTTGGACGTGAATATCCATCAGATCCATAAGACTAATAAAGTTGTTTTGGCCTTGAAAAGAAAAAAGGCAAAGGCTCGTACTAATGCGAAAAAAAGTAATAATACGGCTCTGTGAGAAACCCGGGAGTGGAAAACGTACGTTTTTTGGACCTCGGAATTCAAAAATTGTCTTCCAAAATTCTAGGTTGTCTACCATCTCCACATTCAACATGACAAAAGTTAATCGATATGACAATCGAGAAAAAATATCTAGAACTTCGTAAAAAATCTGTGAATCGAAAAAAATAATAGATACTTGTTCACCTACCTTGAAAACCGACTAAAATCTCGCCCATACATCGCGTTGTTTAAGAGAGAAAAGAAGAAATAAGCCCCAAAATGTGCTGAATATTTCACGAGACACTTCCAATACGGCTTCCGATACGCTGTCCACTTAAAAAATTGTGTATGCCTCATGAAAAGTCTGAAAAATATGCCTGAGAGCCCCGAAACGATGACTGATTCTGTCCGACTCCGTCCGTGGTTTTGAAAGTTTTTGATCACTGGGGCGATGTTTTGCTTTGTTTGTTGATAAACACAAGCGCGCCTTCTCATTGGTTGAAAAGTGTCGCATGACCAGTTGGCCCTGTCCTTAAATTTAGGGATATTCCGGACTGTTGATTGTCTTTTCATTGAGGTGGTTTTTATTTAATTAGCAAAAAAACTACTTTTCGAACATTGCCATGAGTGCTTTTAATATAGAATGAAATACACGAAATACATGATAAAGGTAAACTTATAGGGCAAGAAATAATAAACTTTTTGATTAGTTTCCTTGAATTTCTTTGAATATTTCATGGTCACAGAGTGAAATGGTAGGGTGGGTGGGTGTGTGTGTGGGCGGGGGGGGAGGGAGGGGGTGGTTAATGGACATAGTACCCCCTGCTTTTTCCTGGAAATGTTTAAAATGTTTGATAAGCATTGCCCTAAGACTTGAATGTGGTTATTTTGATTTAATTTGTTTTTGTTACCGTTACCAAAGACAAAAACACAGGAAATAAACAGTAAACCAAATACAAAATTAAATCACCACATGCTCCTCAAACCTTGTGTTTGGGCAATTACAAGTTACAAGCATAACCTTCAAATTACCTAGTACATTCTTATGCAAAATACTTTTGTAGTGTAGGTGGATGAAGATCAAAAAACTCTGAGGTAAGATTGCCATATAAACAGGTGAGAGCATTTTGTAACACAGCACATACTACGTAGAGTTTTCCAATGTTACTTAGCCCAATCTTCAGGTTTTTCTTAAAATCGATAAATTTAAAGTAATTTACTATATCACCAAAGAGCCACTCCACACAACTCCTTACAGAGCTCATTGACGAATTAAATGCCTGCATTTGTGGAGTGAGAACTACATTTCTGAAAGGGGCTTGAAGTTGTACCCTTAAGGGGTATGCAGGGTCCCCATATATGCACATAGGATGTCCTGCTGGAGAACGTGCATACCACTTTAGCTGCTGAAGCACACTAGAATCACCCAACATGCTGGCATCATGCTTCTTTCCCTCTGAAATTCATAACAGTGAAAAGTTTTGAGTTTTTTTTTTATAATAACAGGACTCTTTAGGTATTGGTTAAAATTGGTTAAAAAAGTACCCACCTACGGGTCCATACATATTTGCTATGATACCATTAGGTAGCGCCACAGACTCAAATTTTTCAGGGCATGTACCCTTTTGTGCCCATTGTACACAACTCTTTGATTTTCATCTGGACGTGCAATTGGCCTAATAGTACCGTCCACAAATCCAAAAAAATTTTCAAGGACTGCACCCTTTGCATACACAGCATTTGCATAAGTTTGTAGACTTGCAGGACTCAGAAGGTCGTGATTCCATTCCTTGATTCTCCGTCCATGGGTGTCATAGATAAAATCGAGTACCTTGTTGGTCACCATACTCAACACGGGGGCTGGTCTGCCAAATCACGGTATCATATCTGAGTACCTGAAAGGTTATGAAAGCCTTCGAAGTAGAATACAAAGAGCTTCCATACCCTCGCAAACGGAGCCCTGGTTACATACAAAAGCATCTGGTATTTGTAAACACTCTGCTAAAAGCGGCAGGTCGCGTTTATTCACGCGGAACTCTGCCCTGCACTCTGAATCTGCCATTTCTTCGAGGTTAAATCTTCCGTACTCTTCATACGGTATTTCTAAGTTCTTTGAAAAGCGGCAGTCATAGAGGAGCACGAATTCTTCGTCAGAAATGATGTCGGCCAAATAGCATCCTGCCAAAAGCTCTCTGGTCTTCTTAAACGAAGTCATAACAGCGAAACCTGCTGGATCTCTGACTGCATCTGTTTGTTGTTACTCGTTTCGCCCACCGCTCGCGCAACGCAAATCTTAAGGTTTGTTTTTCCCGCGAAAAGGTGGCGGTCACGACCCATGCCCTCTCGGACCTGACCGCGTTCTTCGAGGCCGCCGCGTCTAGTATCTTAAGGTCCCTATTAACGCCGCCGTCGCTTTGAACTTCATTTCGACGATTTATGACAAAAGAAAAATATGAATTAACATCCCCTACGAATTGCCATATCACTTAAAAATCGTTCCTAAAATATGGCCAAAGTACGTGTCTTAATCCACAAAAGTTGTTTTCGCATTGCGGCATACACGAGTCATAGCAAAAATTTGATTCCGTGAAACGCAAACCGGTAAAGCGCGAGATAAACTCCCGCTTAATTTTCACGCCAGAAGGCATTCCTCAGTTGCTTTTAATTTTCTAGTAACAGTGAACCCGAACTCGCACAAGTAAGCCTTCTCAAAGGTAGCTTATATCCATGCCACCGGTCAAACAGGAAAGCCGGAATTCAAAATCAGTAATCTAAATCAGTGATCATGATGGACAAATTTTAGCTTTCTATCGTCTATTACGATGAAAAACGAAAACGAAACGCTGATAAAGACAGCTGCTGATATTCGTATTGATAAAAGTGTTTGATTTTGATTTCTCAATATTACAAGCCCATCAGGTTTTGCACCCCCTTCCCACTACCACTAACTACCCACCACCCCAGCCCCCCTCCCCATCGAACGCACTCCCCTAATTTGCAATTATTACACTAGTTTATTGTTTATTGTTTGCCATAATATTTACAGAGCAAGAAACAAGTTCTTAAATATTAAAAACGCTAATGTCGAGTAAGCCCAAGGTAGGTGACTGAGCTTGTAAAAAATAGACTCCCTCAGTTAATTATTCTAACGAGGTAAAAAGAACATTATTTATTTGTTCGCTCAAGTTACAGGTGAAGTTGTTTTTTCATTATTATTATCTTACCTGATGTATCACTTGCCAAAAATAAGAGTAAATACCTCATTCCCATTTTGCGATAGATCAATGCAAGAATTACTTCATCTTTATTCATCTGAACATTATTTGGAGTGCTCGGTAAAACGCTCGTCAACGCGGTTTGTTGGAAAACTGAGACTGACTCCTTTTATTAATATTGCTTCTCAATCATTTTGTTGTTTTATCTTTTTCATATATGTTTTCCTTTTCTGAGTTACTGCTCCTAGTTGCATTAACATGCTGTTTTGTTTGTATTCTTTAAAGGTAAAATTACTGTAGAAAAGAGGGATACCAACGGTCACCATAACACTTCTTAAGGATGGAAGAAAGCCGGAACTTTTCGAATGAGACTTGTAGAATTGTTTCTGAAAAAGAAGAAAGAACCTGGTTTGCAGCTTTCGTCATCGAGTTTATTGTCATCTTTTTACTGAATGCTTTCACTCTTGCCATCTACACAAGAAACCGTCACTTACGCAAGCCCAGTACGTACCTGATAATAAATCTGACTGTGGCTGATTTACTGGTGGGAACAGTGTCCGGATCTTCGATGACATTCAAACTACATAACCTGGAGACGTATCTGGGTCTGGAACAAGATTTTAGCTGGCAATTATTCGTGCAATTCACATTGCAGGGGCTTTTTTTAGTTGCTTCTTTAGCTAATATTTCATTGATTTCTTTAGAGAGGTTACACGCAACACTTTTCCCCTTTAGGCATTGTCTTGTTGGCACACGGGTTTACCTCACCATCATTTTGTGTAGTTGGTTGTTCTCCTTGATTTTGTCATCCGTGATTGCTCTTCTTTATTTGCACGCTTCGCCGGCTTCTTTCTATGTATGCGCATCTTACTCTGTTGTGATCATTCTCATTCTCACAGTTTCATATGCTATAATCATCTCAACTGTAAAAAACAATCCTCTCTCCCCTAATGCTGGATCAGTTCTTTCAACAGAGAGGAAACTAAC